AAGGTCATCATCAATAACATGAATGGTCAAAAACAAGATAAATTTGTCAGCAAACCAAAGCGACTGATATGTCATTATTGCAAATTGCCAGGTCACATTGTAAGAAATTGTGAAAAATGGCATTCTGATGGTAGACCAGCAAAACCAAGAAATAACAATCTACGCGATGACAATAAGTCACTAGTTGTTATGGAATCAAGTGTTTTTGCAATTTGATGAGTCAGCGTACACTGATGAATGGTTTTTTGACAATGGTGCAACGTGTCATCTAACTTTCCGAAGAGACATATTTCAAAGTTTTGAAAAATTTTTTCAACCGAGTAAATTATATGTTGCAAATGGTGATACGGTAGAAGCTTTTGGAAAAGGAATTATTCATCTTCAAGTGAAAGTGAATAATAAATGGCAAACTGTTAAACTTACAGATGTCTTGTATGTGCCAAAAGTAAAAAGAAATTTGTTCTCAGTACTTGCAACTCAAGATAAGAACAGAAATAGCTCTTTTGTTTCAACCTTAAGAAGTTGTCATCTATTTATTGACAATGTGATAAATGTTGTTGGAATAAGAAACAACAATGGAGGTTTGTTCAAACTTGTTGCAAAAACTGTTAGATCGTTGAATTTTGAAGTCAAAGTTAACTTTGTCAATAATCAAGATGCATTGCAGTTATACCATGAACGAATGGGACATCAGAATAAGAAACGTGTTAAAATGTATCGATCAAGAGATGTTATTTTTGATGAGAAGGTTGTCAAACCAAATTCAGTGATTTTGCAAGAAGAAAGTTGTTCAGATGATACAGTTTCGATTGATGTTGAAATCAAAGATGAAAATAAAGAAACTTTGATTAAAGAAAATATTTCAACTGATGAAGATGTTCACAACCGTAGTTCAGTTTCATCTGATAAAAAAGATCAATCTGACTGTTGTAATCAAAAGACCAAAGGTATGGTTTTACGTGACAGGAATAATATCAAAAAGCCATCTCGTTATGATCCTTTCGTTATGTCTGCATTATGTGAAGTACTTGAACCAGTGAGCTACAAAGATGCCATTCAAAGTGATGAAAAAGATGAATGGTTTAAAGCCATGAACAGTGAAATGCAGTCATTAAAGGAAAATCAAACGTGGGATTTGGTAAGTCTTCCAAAAGGTCATAAAGCAAAACCATGCAAATGGGTCTACAAGGTAAAACACAATCCAGATGGTTCTGTTGAACGTTTTAAAGCCAGGCTAGTGGTAAAAGGTTTTTCTCAGAAAAAGGGAATTGACTATGAAGAAACCTATAGTCCTGTAGTCAAAAGTTCAACTATAAGAACACTATTAAGCGTTGCTGCAAATGAAAAGATGTCACTCATCCAGTTTGATGTGTCAACAGTTTTTCTATACAGCAAACTAGATGAAGATATTTACATGGAGCAACCTGAAGGTTGCTCCATGTAAATATAGATAATTCAGGAAGTGTCTGTAAACTCAAGCGAAGTCTCTATGGACTTAAACAAGCTCCAAGATGTTTGAACAAACGCTTTGCTGAATTCTTGAAAAAGAGACATTTCAAACAAAGCGATGCAGATATTTGTTCATTAGAATACAGGGAGGAAAGAAACTCATACTTGCACTGTATGTTGATGATGGATTAGTTGCAGGAACCGATAAAGAAGAACTAAAAATATTTGAAAAAGAATTAAAGTCAGAGTTCAAGATAACATCTAAACCTGCAACATATTTCTTTGGATTAGAGATTAATCAAGATGAGAAGGGAAATATTAATGTCAGTCAGTCATCCTATACAAGAATGATTCTTGAAAAGTTTGGAATGAGTCAGTGTAAATCCTGTACAACTCCGATTTCAAAATCTGAGGAGTTCGATGAAAACAAAAATGAACATGAGGAAGTGAAATTTCCTTACAGATCAGCAGTTGGTGCATTGATGTACTTGATGACGGGAACAAGACCAGATATTGCATATGCAGTTGGAGTAGCATCCAGAAGTTTAGAGAAACCCAAAAATTTGAAGCAGAGTTAAAGAAAGAAGAAATGCGGTGAAAGGCAGATCTTGAAGCCAAAGTAGCTGAAGAAGAAGCACAAAAAAATATGAGAATGAGGGAAGAATTACGTTTAAATGAGGAAAGATTGAAGGGAGAATTCAGTTTGAAAGAATTAGAAATACAAATTAAAAAAATGAAAACTTTTTGGGTCATAAAGTGAAACAATTTTGTCTCCCAGCTGCAAGAAATGGAACCATTTTCGAGTCAGGCCATGATGCTCCGTTCGCTGGGCATATCGCTTTTATAAGTCAACCAGGCGGCGAATAGCACTCAATTTTTGAAATTTTGAACACAATTCTCGAGCATGAATAATAAAACCTTTTTTATTCAACTTTTTAATATTGATAATGTTGCGAATAAGAGGTGTCCAAGCTAATAACAAATTTGCGACAAATGCGCTTTTGAGTCAAAATTATTAGTGGCTAGCAATGTGTAATGTGTTGATTCACTTTTGCCAATAAGAACAGCTAAATCGGAGGATTATAGCAATTTAAAAAAAAACAATCGCAACCGTTCAATTAAAACACAGTGAAACACAAAATTTTGAGATGGGTTAGGGCAGTGCTTTTCAAACTTTTTTGTTCCGCGAACCGGTACAGAATTTAATGGGCATGCTGCGGACCACCATTGCACAATATATATATATATATATATATATATATATTAAGAGTTTCGATTATAATTTATGATTCAAACAAACAAATGTGTTGCTTCTGAAAACAAAGAAACGACATTTAAAGTTTATTATTTCACAAATTATAATCAGTTTGTCACAAAATATATTTAATTAAACTTTACTTTTAGGTTTTCTTTTAACCTATCAACAAAAAACCCCAGACAAAAAATTCGCAGTGTATTATCAATCGCGCAAAGCGCGACAAAATCAAAATTAAAGAAATATAGTTTCTTTACATCTACCCTCCCAAGAAAGAAAATTCACATGAGGGATTTTCTGCCAGAATCACGCTTTTATCTATTTTTCTTCATTTGTATCCTCCCCAACTTCATCTTTTGTTATCTGTACTGGAATTAATTTTTAAATATGAAATAAGTTTGAAATAAGTTTTCCTGTGTCCTGTATCTATCTCATAAATGGTATCTGATTTTTTTTTTCTATTTTATATGGTCCTATTCGTAGTTCTAGTTTTTTTTCGATTTAATTTATTCCCATTTTCGACATAAACCATATCTCCAACTTTAAATTCTCTATTTTTTCTTTTTGCATCATAGCACATTTTGCTATAGTAGTGTGATTTCAGAGTATTATTAAGAGCTCTTTCTTTATCTCTGATCCAGTCACTGTGTATACAGTCTTCACTTAGCTCATTTGGTAAGATTGTAGCATCTGTCCCATAAAACAAATAGCATGGTGCGTAACCAGTTATTGAATGAATAGTTTGATTATATTTTTCTACACATTGATGTGCTATTGTAGTCCAAGCTTCTTTTTTTTCACTTTCATTTATTTTGCATTTTATCTTGTTCACTAGTGTTTGATTTAACCTTTCATTTATGCCATTTGAAAAAGGCGCATTCACAGCTGTAAATATCATCGTTATTTGGTTTTCACTAAGAAAGTGCTTGAATTCTTTGGAATTTATTCCAGGATATTGATCGCTGAGGAGTGTTTTAATGTTTTGTATTTTTGTGACCTTATTTATTAGTTTTATAAAATCATGTGCATTCTGGGTCTTTGATGTTATAATAAATGCGTACCTAGTGAAGTGATCTACTAGAAGGTGTAGGTATTTCTTGGTTGATCTTGAACTACCAAAACGGCCAATTGTGTCTATTGATATTATTTCAAGAGGTCTTGTGGCCGGCCCTAGATATGACATTAATTCGTATTTGTCTTGTCCTCTTGTTTTGTTCTTTATGCAAATTTCACAGCTCTTACAAACATCTTTTATATTTTTTGTTAAATTCTTTGATACATATATTGAACTAACAGTCTTTAGCATTTGTCCAACTCCAATGTGACATAAATCCTCGTGTATTCGTTTTATAAGCTTAATACTGAATTTTTCTGTTAATATTATTTTTTATCTTTGTTTCTTATTTTTTTGTAGTATACATTATGTTTTTCAATTATTTTGTTTTTGTTTTTTTGTATTTCTTCATTTTTATTCATAATATCCTCCAACGTAATTAAATTCACTACTTTTAATTGATCTTCTATATTTTCTTCTGGTTCCAACACGGGGTTTCGGCTTAAACAATCTGCTTCTAAATTTTTTCTTCCTGGGGAATATTTGATTTTGAAGTCATACTGTGAA